TAAATCCACTTGTCCCATCAGGTGGGGTCTCACAAACCAACCTACAAGCTGACATTACAGTCTCACAAACCAACATACAAGCTGACATTACACGGTCCTAAACACCAACAAACAAACATAGTGAGTGTTATTATTCCTTACTTAAAACCAATAAAAACCATTAATTGTAATGGTCACAAACACACATCTTTTTTTAAACAACACTTGCCTTAACCAATAGAACCACAGGGTCTCAATAAAACATAATCTGATGAAGTAAAAAATTATTATTAGTCTCAATTATTTTCATATAGAAGAAGAAGGGATAGAAGAAATTAACACTAGCAAAATACTAGTTAGTGTTGAAGTCATGATTATAAAACTTCAGGAAGAAAATACTTCAGTAGAAAGGTTTGTGCATTCTTACTGTTGAGTACTAATACGCTTAATATACGTGCATTTCAGTTCCAGAGACAAGGGTTGTTATTAAGTAGGACATTTCCCTTGCCAGTATCACGTATACTTTACGATGCCCACTTCTGCTGCATGCCATTCCCGAGCTAAAAAAGTATCACAAAATGGGAAATCAAGACTGCAGCTTCAAGTTGTTTGATTGTATGTCACAGCAATCGGCACGTGGGTCAGGAATAATGTGCCTAAGTGGTTTCTCATTGGAGGAAATAATACAATATAATTCCTGTAAACTGTTATTTTTTAGCGATAAAATCCGGGCATTCATGACCTATATAAAACAGTTTCCACACAAAAGAAGGACTTTAACTTTTGTGAAATGGTTAAAATAAAAATTAGTTTTAATATTTAACTTTCTTTATAAAAAACATGACACACAGGAAGTAATTAATTATGACACAGTTATTAATTTTACAGAAGCTAGTAGCAGTACCAAATCTGATAGTGGTAATTATATTACAAGCTGACATTACATGTTGGTTTGTGAGACTGTAACGTCAGCTTGTAGGTTGGTTTGTGAGACTGTAATGCCAGCTTGTAGGTTGGTGTGTAGGACCGTGTAATGTCAGCTAGTATGTTGGTGTGTAGGACCGTGTAATGTCAGCTTGTAGGTTGGTTTGTGAGAGTGTAATGTCAGCTAGTATGTTGGTGTGTAGGACCGTGTAATGTCAGCTTGTAGGTTGGTTTGTGAGAGTGTAATGTCAGCTTGTAGGTTGGTTTGTGAGACTGTGTAATGTCAGCTTGTATGTTGGTGTGTATGACCGTGTAATGTCAGCTTGTATGTTGGTGTGTATGACCGTGTAATGTCAGCTAGTATGTTGGTGTGTAGGACCATGTAATGTCAGCTTGTA